GGCCCAGGAATCGAACTTGCAACCCAGGTACTTGCCTTTGACCAGTAATCAAACCCGCAACCCCTCAGTCTGTGGGCCGATGCTCTAACTGCTGAGCCAAACTGGCCAGAGTGAGGCAGTCCTTTTTTTGGTAAATGTGTTACTACTCCGCCCCCCTCCACCCCCCCATATCCTGGTCCCCACCCCCACCCTCATCCTGAAACTTCGGATGTGGTCAGTTTCCTCCTTCCTTCCACCATCTCGTCTGCAGGCTCCCAGCTGGATGGCTCCAGACACTTTCTCCTCCTCATTTATACCAGGAAGTAGTTTTATATCTGGTGGTTGCGTGATGGGGGATCAACAACAGAGATAAGATTGTGACAGTTTAATTTTCTAGTATATTTATCAACTTTTCTGCTTTATTGTGGTGCTGTCTTTGTCCGGACGGCCAGCAGGAAATGATCAGATATGCAAGAGCTGAAGTTACCAGCGGTTTGAGCTGAAGACAAACCCATTCAAAGACACATCAGCGCAGCAGCAGGGATGCATGGCGGTGGGGAGTGCGTGACCCGTGGAGAGCAAGAGCTGGATAAACCCCTGTGAGACATTCTCACTGGAGCTTTGGTCACAACCCCCTCACCTAGTTTTTCAGAATACTTTTATTCGGAGCCTTGGAGTCCTGTGGAACAAGGAAATGGCTTGGCTGTTGGAATGAAAACAAGCTTGTTACAGCCAAGGGACTCTTTCACATCTAGACGAGGCAGACACCTCTCAGCAGTGATCCAGTGGCCTCAGGGAAATGAGCCAGGGTTTCCCGTGGGGGAGCTGACAAGGGTCCGTGACAGGGCAACATTCGTTGTAGTCAGCAGCTCAGTTGGCAGCCAGGCCCACGGCTGGAGGGTGGATTGCCTGGAAGGCAAGTCCGGACTAGTTTCTCATCTTCAGGAATGGCTGGGCAGCCCCGCAGAACGAGAGGAGCTCAGCGTGGCTGTACCTTTGTGAGTAAAACACCAACGTGATTTAGCCTTCAGCTTGCCCTGTGCCCATCCATTCTCTTCACTACAGCCGAGTGATATTTTAAAAACAGAAATTGGATCGTGTCACTGCCCTGATTAAAGTCCAGACTCTTCCTCCATGTGGCTTACCAGGCCCCGCAGGATCTGGCCTGAGCTTAGCCTTACAGTTTCTTCTTAAATAGGCCAAACGCGTTTCCTCCAACTCCTTCTCAGACAGTCTTCTCTGTCTGGTATGCTGTTCCTCTCCCCTTCACCTGTTTCACTTCCCTAGAGGACTCTCCTTTGACCCCCTGAGGAGAGTAGGTCAAATCTCCCTGTTGAAAGGTCTCACATTCTCGATAGAACTGAGCAAATTTTGCTCAATGCTTTACCAGGCTGTGAGGTCCATGATGCCATTTTGCTCATCCCTGTTCCTCGGGGCTTAGTAGAGGGCTAATTCATGTTCATGCTCAGTCATAGCCTTTGAAAAGGAGGGGCTGGTGTTGTATTATGTACCAAGAAGAGGGAAAACTAGTATTTGATGAATAACACCAGTGCCAACAACCCCTTCGACACCTGGCTTCTCTTGATGTTCCCTAGCTCTCACAGTGATCTGTTCTCTTCATCTCCAATAGTCGTATGAAAGACCTTGTAATCAACAATAACTAAATCAGCTCCCAAATCTGAATGCCATGCACACTACTCTATGGCTCCATTTCCTAGTTGTCCAGCTCGTGCACTCTAGTGCCCTCACTGTGATGACTCCTTGCCCCCCTCAGGATTCCTGCTGAAGTTTGGGTTCTCTAGAACGCATCCCCTGAGGTGGAGAGTGACATGCAAGGCAGAGTATCAGGGTGTGCTGCAGGGATGGACACCTGTGGGGGAAGGGAGGGGGGCCGGTGGGGTAGAGGGGTGAGTTAGCTCAATCCCACTGAGTACTCTGAACCTGGGATAGTCCTGTAGAATGATCCCCCATAGAGATAAAGGAGAACCAGTCTTTATTGTAGGTTGCCCTCAGGTTGGGAGTGTGATGGGTGAGCTTTCTCTCAGCCAAGGACAGTGGTTCTCAAGGGCTAACAGCTGAAGGTCATTAGCAGCCAGTACTCCCTTTAGCTGGGAGACCAAGATCTTTAGTTCTGCAGAGATACAGGCAGTGCCACATGATGCCCACCATAATGTCCAGTCCATTTCAACTCTCAGCCTCCTTCCTGATGCCTCACGTCCCTCCGGAACAGCTGAGGCTCCTCGGCACCTCACGACCACCATCTCTTTGCTTACGCACTCAGTTCCCTTGTATTTCTTTACCCATCACGGTTGCCTAAAAACTCATCTGTGGTTATCACTTTCCAATCACCCTGCACTTGCCCCGACTGTCTGAATGAGACTGGAGAAAAACACGTGGCCATGCTGACTGCTCACATATGGTCACAAATCAAAAGTGGCTCCTCAGCACACCCTAGTAAGTTCTCTCCTCCTCCTTCCAGAACGACTTCTTCATACCTTCTCCCCTCCCCTTACACATCCAGTACCTCCTCCCTCTCCTAATTCTCAGGCGTTACCCTCTCTCCTCATTTCACTGAGCAAAGGCAAACCAGCGAAGGAGGACTCCTTCATCCCACCACCAACTACCTCTTCCCCTGCTCCGCGCTTCGTCCTTGCTGGAGAGATGAGTTGCTCCGTGTGCGCACCGGAGATCAACTCTGCTTGCCTTGTCCAGGACGCTGCTCCTGCAGTGCCCTGCTCTCGGTGCTTCTGCGCCAGTGTTCTTCGCTCTGCGCAATCACGTCAAGCAGCATACAAACATGCTGCGATCTTTTTCATCTTTTGGAACAAGACTCTTTTGTTTGTCACCAAGTCTCCCTGCAGCTACTACCCCATTTTTCTTTCTTTCTTATTTATGTATTTATTATTATTTTTTCTTTATTGACTATAGAGAGGAAGGGAGAGGGAGAGAGAGAGAGAAACATCAGTGAGAGGGAACATCGACTGGCCACCTCCTACACACCCCCACTGGGATCAGGCCCACAACCTGGGCATGCGCCCTGACCAGAATTGAACCAGTGACCTCTTGGTGCATGGGTCGACGCTCAACCACTGGGCCACATTGGCTGGGCCCCATTTTTCTTTATGTGACAATATCTTAGAAGGTTTGCCTTGTTTTTTCTGTCTCAATGCCGTCTTATTCCATCCTCTCTCTCTCTGACTCCATCGGGCTCCGCCCCGTTCCTTTCCCCAGACCACTCTTATTACATCAAGGTCAGCAGTAAACTTCTTGCCACACCCAGTGGTTAGTTCTCACTTTACCTAATTCAACTTCACAGCAGCAGGTGACAAAGTGATGATGACTCCTTTCCTGAAGCACTTTTCCTCTTGACTGTCATGATGCCCACTCTTCTGTGAAGCGAAATGAACAAGGACTGCCAGGAGCCAACTTGTTCACGAATCCTAGTGCCCTGGCTGCCAGAAAGACCTCAGTTCCGTCTCCTGCTCCTGTGCAGTTACTGCCCTACCTCAGTCCCCGGGGTGGATCCCTCCACACCTGTACTCGATGTAATATGACACAGTTTTATATTCCTATTGTCCATTTGTTTTTGTAAGGCATTGTCTTGATCACTTTCAGAAGCATGCATTGTGCAGGTGGGACACGTTGATTGCATGAGTTATTTCCCTCATTTCTGCTGTTCGGTTCTTATATCATAGTTACGGAAGTCTTGCTGAGTCTCCAAGACCTCAGTTATCCCACAACAACTTTTATTTATAGGCTGACAAATCTTTAGAATGGAAAATAATATTTTTACTCTTAAATAGATAAACGAGGTTGCTAGTGACTCAAGATAGCTATTTTTATTCTCAGTTTCTGTACATGAAGGAAGGGTTTCAGGATTTCAGTGATAGTCTTATTAGTAACACTGTATTTGACTAATTATCATTTTCCAGGTGCTTTCTTGAAGGAAACCTTAGTAATTAAGTGATTGACTTCTGAGTTCGAATCCTGGTTATAGCATGTTCTAACAGGATGACTGTGTGTCAAACGTTTAACTTTCGTGACTCTCCATTTTCCAGGCTTTAAAATGGGAGTAGTGCTATACTTCACTCTTGGAAGTGTATGTGGAGTAAATTAGATGATGCTAACCAAACAGTAGATTCCTAACTGACCCTTATGACAAGCTGATGAGGATTCTGGGACTCAGAGTGGTTAAATGCACATCATAGGCTAGTAACTAGCAGAACCAGTCAGAACTCACGTTTTCTATCTTGGGTTCCCACTCTGTGTTTATATCCTTCCCCCTCCCTGGCCATCACACATAAGCAGTCTGAGTAAAATGAACATAAAGTCAGTTTTGAAAACAACCTCCAGAAAAGACTAAACTCTGTACTGAAGTTCGTAGGTTGTTTTAAGTTTTATCATGGACCTTTATGAGAAAGCAGGTGATGCTCTGACCTCTGTTCTAAAGAGAACAAGATCTTTTTGTTGAATCAGCCCCTTATTCTATCACCTGGGATGGATCTCCAGGTCAAGAGATGAAAGACATTTATTTGCATCAGACAACAGCTGCTATCTGTATTCACGGTGCAACGTGGAAGAAACTGGCTGCACCATCATTTTGCAACAGATGGATTAAAGCATGTCTCAGGAAGACACACAAGCAGAGAGGGGAGGCAGTCCCTTGATGGTGCTGAGAACAGCTATACCCTGTACGATGGATACCTAATAAATATTAATTAGTATCAACTCACTGGACACGGAACTGTTTGATTTTTGACATTAAATCAAGCTCCCTCCCTGGTGAGAAACTAGTAATAGTAAATTTAGCCTTTACATTTCTTGGGGAATACTCGTTGCCCAAGGTTGACTCTGATGCACCAGCTGAATTTGCATTTAAGCTTTTGTGTTGGACGCATCTTGCTTTTTCTCTAGGTTTCAGTGGGCAATTCGCATTTTCTCATTTCACTGGAAGATGATAACACTCTGCTTTAATCATTCGACTAACTGTGATATTGCTCCTTTTTTTCCCCCTCCTTCAGATATTGATGAGTGTGCAGCTAAGATGCATTACTGTCATGCCAACACCGTGTGTGTCAACCTGCCCGGGTTATACCGCTGTGACTGTGTCCCGGGATACATTCGTGTGGATGACTTCTCTTGTACAGGTGAGCGTTAAAAAGCTGATCCAACCCTTCTCTGCACCCTATCTGTGCCGTTCCATTTAGCATCAAGTGCACTAAGTACTGTTTTTGCCTAACTAGTTCTGCTCTTGCATTATTTTCCCCTCTCCTTTTGAGAAAAAAAGCGATAAAGAAATTTTATCTGCATAATTTAATTCCAGGGCCGGTATTTCTGCCCGTGTTGTGTGAGCCTGCATGCATGGTTGTCTGATTTGAAATTGAAGTCTAGTTACCTATAGTGACACTGGGGAGCTTAGAGACATGAGTTCTAAAATGTATCAAACTATTCTCCTTCCTTCATGATGCAGTGTTTTGTGTATAAGATAATGCACGTTTGTTCCCCCATTGGGAAAGACAAGGGTTACACTGCAAGGGGAAGCAGTGCCCGGTGGGCAGCACTGGGCTCCGGAGAGCTAGTCAGGACTTTGGAGTATATGCTGGTAGTCATTTCCTTCCTCTGTCCCTGTATCACTGGGCCATAGGGTATCAAACTGGGACTCCGGGGACGTGGTGGTGCCTTTGTGTGAGTAATGCTGGCTCTGTGGGCATTCAGTTTAGGTGCCAATATACTTTCAACCACATATATTGAGTCATGAACAGTAAACTGGTTAAGGGTGGTCGAAGATTCTGAGTCTTTCTTCTCTTGGTGAAATGTCTTTTACATGAACAATATGAAACCTATAAGAAAAGGGCCCCTTGAACACAAGACTTTAGTCATGTTGTACCTTTTCCTGACTCCTGCGTCTTTCTCTTTATCCTGATAACATGGGTTTAAAAGCGGAATTCTTCACTCAGATGGAATGCCAGACTTTTCTTAATGTATTTTATTCCGAGGGACCTTTTGAGAAGAGCAAAAGTTAGGGAAGCCACGTTTGTATGTCTACATACCTTTGCCGTAGATTCTAGTATACTTGTAAGTTACTGTTCTTTATTTTATTTTATTTATTTTATTTTTTTATCCTCACCCGAGGACATTTTTCCATTTTTTGTTCAGATAGAGTGGGAGGGAGAGAGAGGAAGAGAGAGAGACACATCGATGTGAAGGACACATCGAGTGGCTGCCATCCACACAACCAACCAGGGCCGGGGACAAAGCGCAACCGAGGTACGTGCCCTTAGCGGGAACCGAACCCGGGTCTCTCAGGACCGCAGGCCGACGCTCCAACCGCTGAGCCAAACTGACCAGGGCATAAGTTACTGTTCTTTAACTAAGGGGCTGGTGAGCTCAGATTGATGGAGGTTTCTGACGGCCACCGAAGGCCACATCGCATTGATCTCTCTTTTATAGAACGACAGTTCTAGAGCGAGAAAGAGAGAGCGGCTGTATACGCATAGCATGCTGCAATCTGAATGTTTTAAGGGGACAAAAATCTTTTGCACCTGTAAATAAACACAATCTCCAGATCTGTGATGTTATAGGTGACTATAGATGACTCTGTTCTTAACAGTAAATCAATGTCTTCACCTATTCTGAGCCTCAGACGAGCAGGAGGCAGTGGGTCCTGCCCGTGCAGCCCCCGGTCACGCGCCTCGGCGAACCTTGAGGAGCCTGCGGTGTGGGAAGGCCTCGCTGGCGTTACAGCAGCAGCCAGCTCTGCTCTGCTCCCCCCCCCCCCCCCCCCCGGGGCGGCCAGGCTGCTGCTCGCTGCCTGCCTCGTAAGGACAGGTGCTCTGTCTGGCGGTTTCTATAAAAGACCAGATGGAAAATGTATCATTGTAAGAACTAGCTCCAGAATTACTTTCAGAAAGGAAACTGCAGTGTTTGGAGTAAAAGGCAATGGTGGGGGTATCAGTGGGCACCCAAGCATCCCTCCCCCACCTCCAAGAAGATGTCGCTCTGCAGGAAAGTATACACACACACACACACACACACACACACACACACTTTTGTTTTGTTGGTGTGTGTTTGTCTGAGAGGGCACAGAAGAGTTAGAACACGGGAGAGAAAAGCAGGAGGGCGGAGGGAGGAACAGAAGGCTGGGTTCTATGGAGGGCTGAGGGGCAGCGAGCCGCCCGGTGGAAGGAAAGCTGAAGGGACTTTTAAGGGTGGGAATATTCGTGGTCTTTCGTGGTTTTGCTACATAGCATGCAGTGCAGGTCTTCCTCGTGACCCTCACACCTCCAGCAACATCTACCCACCCCGAGGACGGGTAAGTCTTCCCCGCACTGGAATGCGGGTTAGCACGGTGGACAGCAGACATGGTATGCGTGAGGATCGGAGGCTGAGCCCTCAGAGCAGAGGGGCTCACTATAAAGCACCCATTCTTATCCCTTTCCCTCCTCTCAGTGCATACTTCTGCACACATCACCTCCGCCTCCTCCCGGGAATTTCAGAAATCTTGATGAGGGCTTTGAACTTCATAGGTCATAGAATTGGGACAAGATCTTTTTCTTTAAAAACAAAAACAAATCTTTCACCCTGGCCAGTTTGGCTCAGCAGTTAGAACATCAGCCTGCAGTCCGGAGAGGCCCGGGTTCGGTTCCCGCTAAGGGCGCGTGCCTCGGTTGCAGTTTGTCCCCGGCCCTGGTTGGTCGTGTGGGTGGCAGCCACTCGATGTGTCCCGTTCATGTCTATGTTTCTCTCTCTCTCTCTCTTCCTCTCTCTCCCTCCCACTCTATCTGAACAAAAAATGGAAAAATGTCCTCGGGTGAGGATAAAAAAAAAAAAAATCTTTCCACCCTGGCTGTTTTGGCTCAGCTGTTAGTGTTGGCCTGTGGACCAAAGAGTCACGGGTTTGATTCCTGTCAAGGGTACATACTTTGGCTGCAGTTCGGTCCCCAGCCCTGGTTGGGGTCATGCGGCGAGCAACCCATTGATGTGTCTCTCTCACATTGATGTTTTTCTTTCTCTCTCCCTCCCTCCCTCCTTCCCACTCTAAAGATAAATGGACAAAAATATCCTTGGGTGAGGATTTAAAAAAAAGCCTGAATGGTGTGGCTCAGTGGTTGAGCATCGACCCATGCACCAAGAGGTCTCCAGTTTGATTCCCAGTCAGGGCACATGCCCAGGTTGTGGGCCAAATCCCCAGTGGAGGGCATGCAGGAGGCGACCAATCGATGTTCTCTCTCCTTGATGTTTCTCTCTCTCTCTCTCTAAAATCAATAAAGAAAAAAATGTTTTTTTTAAAAACATTTTAAAAAATGTTTTTTTTTTAAAACATTTTTTGATCCCAGATTTCTTCCTACTTCCCCATTTTTCTGCTCCTATTCACTGCACAACTTCTTACATTGTCTGCGGTTATTGTCTCCGTGACACTTACCACCTCACACCCTCCACAACCCTCTCTGGAGGCTCCCATCCCACCGTCCCACGGAGACGACATCTGTCAGGGTCACCGTGCACTCCATTCTGCAAAGTCTAATGCTTTTGTCTTTTTGATCTCTCAGCAGCATTTAGCAGAGCTGTCCACACTTTCCTCCTTTAAATACATTCTTTTCTTGGCTTTTGAGACATCATCCCTCCTGATTTTCCTTCTGCTTCCCTGGCCTCTCCTGCCCTGTGTCCCTGGCAGTTTTTCTTCCTCTGGTGACATTTTGAAGGTTAGAGCTCGGCCTTGGACCCCTCCTGTGCACCTGTCTGTTCTTTCTAGATGCCTTCATTCCATCCTAGCGCTCGAATAGCACTTTTGTCAATAATAAATTTCTGCCCACTTCTAATCTTTCTGCTGAGCTTCTGAATCATATATGCAGCTTGACATTTACATATAGATATTTCATGGGCATTTTGTTAAACATGTCTAAGACAATGTTCTTGATTTCCACCCCCAACACATCTGCAAACTTCCCCTCTTCCAGTTTTCTCCATCTCAGCAAAGCAAAGCATCACCTACCCAGTTTTTCGAGCCAAAAAGCTGGGCGTTAGACTTGATTCCTTTTGTCCCCTTGACCTTCCACTGCTCAGCCATGGCCCGGTCTTGCTGACTCAACCCTTCCCCCACTGTCCTAAGTCCCCAGACAGCTACAAGGGGATGAGGAAATGCAGTCCTACTTTGTGCATAGAAGGGTAGAGAACCAAGAACATTTGGGGGATGGAACTAATGAATACCATAGTGGCTGTCTGGTAATAGATTCTCAACAAATTTTGTTTCCTTTGACATGAAGAGTTGTTGATTAAAATAACCTCTTTTATTCAACAGCAGTTCACAATGTGATGGGGAAATAAATCTCAAAAAATTATTATGATCTTAAGAACATTGTCCTAAGTGCCATGATGGGAAGTACAAGCCAAATGTAGTAACAAAAAGGTGCTTCCTTAGGGTGGTAAACATACAATACAATATGCAGATGATATATTGCAGAATTGTAAACCTGAAACCTATATAATCTCATTAGCCAATGTCACATCGATAAATCCAATTAAAATAAAGGTAAAGAGGAAAAGGTGTTTGATTGATAGAATGGAGTGTTTGGGTTGAGTTTTACAAGCCAAGAGGAGCTATTGGAATTTACCAGGGCATGTGGGCACACTGCCTGGGTGGCATAGGATTTTACGGTGGCAAATCTGGATGAGAATGAGGAGAACTAGGGGACAAGTGTTCTCCTTGGGAGTTATTTCTCCTCTAGACCAGATTCAAGGCCCTCCATCAGACACTTTCATGGCCAGCTAGAACTCTGACCTTTAACCCTGGTGTCCTGCAAAGAAGCGTGTTTGGCCAAATGTGCTCTTTTTTCTCTAAGACAGAGTAGGCCCCCACCTCTAATCTCTGTCATTTCTTTATTGGCAAAGAAGACTTCTTCCCCTAGGTGACTATGTGCCTGGGTAATGAATGAGGTCTATAATAGACGTCTGCCGCTGTGTCTTTTCGATGTTTCATTTCCAGAAGATGGTTTTCGGGGAGAAATCGGCAGGCCTGACAGCACCCTTTGTTCACCCCGAGTTCCTGACACAGCATTTCTTGTTATTGACGTTTCTTAGTTCCAAAGCTCATTCTCTTCTCTGTCCCAAATCAATTAGCGTCTGCTGCTGCCACTGTTTAGTTGGTTTT